GAAATGCATCCAACAATTCAGTACAATAAAAGGAATGTCATCCAAAAGGACCAAATATCACTGCAAAGACAGCATCGCAGTGAACATACCTTGAAGCATATAATCCCCAAACATATTTATAATGATTATAAATATAATAGCCTTTTTATTAAAAAAGAGGAAATGTATATTGAGCTTAAATACTGAACAATGTGTTACCTTTCAGACTCACAAGTGCTTTTGCAGAAGAGCCTAAAAAGAGAAAAAGGATTTTAAATTCACTCAATGCAAAAAAGGCAAATATGCCATGCAAAAAAGTGGGAAGTATACATGACTGTCTGGTGACACTGAAATTCTGGTTCTGTGACTCCCTTTCATACTGTATTTGAAAAGGCTAAGAGAAAGTCTAATTCAGACTTAAGGTAACCACAAATAAAAAAAAAAAGAAGTATACGAAAATTTGCAAAGATATTCCATGATCTGCATGTATTACTCCGGAATGAAAATCAGAACAAAAACAAAATTAAGCTTTAGCAATGATTACCAACAATTTTGGATAATGAGTTTAACAGAAAAAGATGACATCACTAGCTTTCAGTGTGTAACCAATTTTGTAGATGCAGGAATGAGAAAAAAACGTCAAAGTAGCAAAGCGATGTGATTGACTAATCTTTGATTTTTTTTACCCTGGTCTCAATCTACAGGCACATGCTTGAGGTACAAGTTAATACTGCTGACTAAAGTCAGGTGCTTTATGCAATAAATTCAACTGATTTACATTGCATTCATGTTTTTTTCAAGGTAAATTACATTTCAGTTAGGTTATACAGCTAGTTATTTTAGCTGACTAATCCAAATTTGGCCTCACTTGAAGCAGCAACCTCTGGGCTGCATGTCTGTTACCCAGGTTGCCATTTAGGTATCCATAGCGATACTGCATTTTGAGCAAGTAGCCTGGACTACACAAGAAAACATTAAAAAAAAAAAAAAGCATCTTCTGCAGTGCTACCAGAACATCCAGCAGGAACCCCACAATGCACCTGGTGGGCTGTCTCTCAAGACAACTGCAGCATTTGTTTCTGTAATCAAACCCACAAGCATGGAATCGGAGGGATTCCTTGCAGAATATCCTGCCATATTGCAGAAAACAATTCCATAAGCTCCACTGACTCAAATACTTTACATGCTATCCTGGCTGCAGGACATCCAAACAGCCTAAGTGTGACAAAATGGCATTTCACTTTTAATGCAATGCACAAAAATAGTTTTATATGATAAACTAAACTATACATACATGGCTTAAATATACTACTCAAAACTGAGAATCTAACTGTTCTGCATTCATAATCCTTTATAAGCCAAGCAAAACATTTAAGCAATGTGAACAGGTTGTCCTGAAAATATTTAACAATCATGAACAACAACAGCATGGCTTAATCTTTGAAAGTGAAACAATGATTTAGAACCTTGTCTTGAATATAGGAGGTAAACCAGAAGAAGCAACTACAAAGATGAAGTAAAGAACACACACAGCGTCAATCACAGAGAAGTTATGATAGGACAGCATAACAAAAACATTCAATCTCAGTACAACACACAGTGAGCCTACAAAGTACCAGTAATATAATTATGAAAGGAACATACATTATTTAGTACTTAGGCTTTCAAAGGGAGAGATTATGTAGAAGACCAGAAAACAGCCTGGTTTGGTAAATCATATTCAAATATATATATATACACACACACACACACACACACATACCGAATCGATACTTCTGGCTATTAAGGTTTACGAATCTGAGGCAGTTTAATAACATTAAATAAACTACACCTCGACTATATTAGCGAACTCTCTAAGATTTTGATGATTTATGAAACTCTTTAGCAGCAACGCAACAACCTTTCCCATCATAACAAAACATGGTTCACTGGAATTAATCAAGTATCAAACAAAGCAGCAAACAAGGGGCAAGTTAAAACCAAGCATTTTCATTTTACATCTGGGCCCATTTGTCTATTACAATTACAATGTCATAACTACCCAGCAGACAATAACCCCTAAGAAAAACTATAAAAACATAATAGCCAGTAACAAATCTAGCGTTCAGTTAAATAAGGTCAAGTGGAACAGACATGTATCCATATTTTGCTTTAAGTAATAATCTATTTAGCTAGTACCAAGCATGACCCACGTTCACGTAGCTAAGTATTAACGCAGTAAATATTAGCTACGGCTACTAAACTTGTTAACCAACTAGCTACAGTGTTATTTTGACAGCGTTACCTAGCTGTCTCTACAGTAATGTCAGAGCACCGGAAAATGCAGAATTATCACCTACCAAATTTTAAATAACGAAAGATGCATTTATAGCTAACCAGATAGTTAACGACTGTTTAATTATCCGGAAAAATGCGCAGCATTGATCTACGTTTAAGGTAATCCAATACCAACCCATACAACACGGCAATGTACATAATTTAAGACAACCGAAGCTGTTTAGTTCTCCGTCTGAAGATGGTGTATTAAATATAATAATGTGAATGATATCGCCACTGGATTAACTAGCTAGTATTCCTGTCAAGGTTGAAGAGCTACGTTGCTCAAGTTAAACAGCTGGTCAAAACACGGGATATTTGCGTCATATAAACAACCTAAAGCGCACGGCGTTCACGAAATACCACTAACGTTTCGCAGTATTTTGGACTGATTCGTGTCGTTAACGTCTCGGTGAACAGCAAACAATCGCGACTTTTCCCCTGAGCGTTTTTAAAAACCTTACTTAGTTTTCCTGTGACTTACTTTCATCCAGAAGCTGCTCCAGCTCCGCCATCTTGAATCGGCCGCGCCGCTTTTTCAAAGGCTGCCGGTCGTGGTGCATTGTGGGATACAGGCTGCCGGAGAGGGTTCTTCGAATGCCAGTCACACGAGTCTAATCTCTTTCTGAATATAATGTATATAGAGAGTAGACATAATACCAGAAACAACTGAAATATATGGTCAAAAGTCTATAGAGAGTGGTGCTACCCTTTGCCTTCACATCAGTTTCCATGCTTCTAAGAAATACTGTTATACAAGTTCTGAATTGTACGTAGTGGTATACTCAACCAACCTCCAGGTCGCTGAAAGATGAAGAAGGTGGAAATCTGTTTCACTTGGCGAACTTCAGAACGTCCTATAAAGTTTCAGTGCTGCTTAGGTTCTGGTGATTTGGGCTTTTGGCTGTTGTTCATGAAGCCGCTTTGTAGTTTGTGTTGCAGTGTGCATACAGTGTAACCATTGGACCCAAAGAATCGTATGAAATGGTTGCCCATATCATTATTGACCCATCCATCATGTGTAACATTCGCCAACACATTTTTTGAATTGAAGGCATCCATTGGCTTTCCAGATGTAGGAAAAGTGGATGAAAGATGATTCATTACACCATATAAAGCTGCTTCTTTGTTTATCTGTATAATTTTCAATTTACCTGTGTTTGGCATATGCTGACTTGATTCTTCCCCTTGGGACTTTAAATAATTTTGCAGTTTTTGTGACTTATTCAGCTGCAACTCTGTGTAAGTTACTTTATGACGCTTTGAAATCTTGCATATAAAAGTGATAAAAATGTAAAGTGATTGCCAGACCACTTTTTTTACATAATAGATATGACTATAGTGGAATTCAACTTAAAACTCAACTTTGTAGCAGTTCTTGTAATTGTGATTTGGTTACTTCATACACTCATTGTTAGTCACTTTCAAATGTCATATTATGACATAAATAGTAACATACATACAGGCCGTGGAGAAATTAATAAAACATTGTGTGAATTTTAAATTTTATGACACACACAAGAAAAATGTGTTCTTGGTTACACAAAAGCTTGGCAGTGAAGGATCATTAAAAAATATGATGATACCACCGTAATAGGTCTGATCAGCGAGGACGATGAGATGGCCTACAGGGAGGAGGTCAGACTCCTGGCAGAATGGTGTCAGGACAACAACCTCACCCTCAACATGAGCAAAACTAAGGAGATGATTGTGGATTTCCGCAAACAGGCAACAGAGCACAGCCCCACCTACATCGGAGGTGAGGCTGTGGAGCAGGTCAGCAGCTTTAGGTTCCTCGGAGTCACCCTCACTGACGACCTTAAATGGTCAACTCACACTGTGGCAATAGTCAAGAAAGCCCAACAACGCCTCTACTTCCTCAGGAGACTGAGGAAAGCCCGGATGTCCCCCAGAACCCTGTGCAGATTCTACAGGTGTACTGTGGAATCCATCATGACAGGATGCATCTCATCCTGATACAGCAACTGCTCAGTCCAGGACAACAGAACTCTGCAGCGTGTGGTGAACTCAGCACAGAAGATCACGGGCACACAGCACCCTGCGATCCATAACATCCACACTACACGCTGTCTCAGGAAAGTGAACTGTATCAGGCGGAACCCCAGCCACCCTGCACTGTCACTTTTCACCCTCCTCCCATCTGGAAAGTGACTCAAGTCCATTCGGACGCGCACCTCCAGGTTCAGGAACAGTTTCTACCCAACTGCAATCAGACTCATGAACAATCAGTAGCCTTGTGTCACCTCCACTGCTACCCACACATATACTTCTGCCATTGTCTCTAAGATTCTGGTCTTATTTATATTCACTTTATCATTACATTCACTTATTTTGTGTTTTTTTTTTTTTTGTCGACTTGTCTATGTTCACTGTCTGCAGGGGCACACGCAAGTAAGTATTTTATTGTACATGGTACTCGTATTTGTACATATGACAATAAAAGAATTGAACTGAATTAACTAAAGACATGCAGTTTGGCTAACTGGTGTCACTAAATGACCCATGTGTTTGTGAGTGTATGCATGTATGTGCCCTGCAATGGACTGGGACCCAGGATGGGTCTCAGCCTTGTACCCTATGCTATCTAGGATAGGCTGCAGGTGAGCTGTCTGGGGGCCCCCCGAGTACCATGTTGGGAAACACTGCGATGGTGTATTTATTGATTTCAATTAAATAAAAGTTAAGAAGACTCAAGTGTCACTTTATTCTTGTACTATGGTATTTTTGCAGTTATACAGTTAATTGATTGGCATCTCTATGTGCAAATGTGTTTGAACCCTGCAACGGAGTGGCGTCTCATTCAGGGTGTCTCCTGCCCTGTGCATCCTAGGATCAGCTCTAGCCCCCCCTGCCACCTGACAGGTTAAGTCATTTGAGGATGGATAGAGCATTTCAATCATTCAAATGATCATTTATCAATCGGTTCTTCAACATATCTAGGTTAAAAATAAACATTAACTTCTTCTGTAATTGTGTTAGCAAATTATTAATTTGATTATTATGATGCAGCATGTTTTCTTTTTTTCCCATAATGCATTTAGTGCTGTTACAACAGCAGTTCCGGCCAAGCTGACATTGCATGTTGTCTGAGACCGAGCTGGACTTCTTCATATCTGGTCATCACACCTGCACAGCCCATGGACGGAAGGTTCCTGCCTCTGGAGGGGGACACTAAAACAAATTTTTATTTTTGTTTAAATTACATCATGAATTCGTTTAGCCTCAGCATTACAATCTTCACAATGAAAAGCAAAACATTCAAACAAGTTTTGTATAATTCTGTGTAATTCGAGTAATGCACATCTAAGCAACTATGAGAAAATGACAAATGAAATATGGGTGATTCCTGTTTTGGACCACATACTTGGCTGTCTGTTTTTTGAAAATTGGAATGATTGTATTTTATGGTTTAAACATTTTGTCAGGACTATACCATACTTAGCTATGAGGAATGCATGTTTGCCAAGCTCAGGGGTTGAAAATATTATAATTATGGGATGTTTTTTGTATATATTTCTCCTAACGTTTTCCACCCTGTTAGGGACATGTACATGGTAATCACAAAGTTTAAATAATGTACAAGTCAAACAATACTGAACTTTTCTGGGATACAATGTGTCCCTTTTGCTATGATAAAAGTTTCATTCTTGTAGCATTAACAGTTTTAATTTTATGAAGAGTACAATGTCAGAATAATGGAATCTGTGCATTTTTTGTCCCCATTTTGTTGTCTTGTAAGGAATTTTATTAATTAGAAATAAAAGTATATGTAGATGCATTATATGCACCTCATTTAACAAAACAATATACAAATATACCAAACACTTACTGCTGTGATTCGAATATTTTTTTAAATCATTGCCTAACAGGGTGGAATAGAATATAACAGGGTGGAACCGAGTCGGCCTCTTAACAAGTAGATTCAGATTCACAACAACAATACTACTACTACAACTAATAATAATAGTAATAATAATAATAATAATAATACCACTGTAGTAACATAAATAATTAAGAAATACACTCAAATAATAAATCTACAATTTTAATGAAAATAATAAATTTCTACTCAGTAGGCTGCATATCCCATACATAGCCTAACAGGGTGGAACCTAACAGGGTGGAATATTTCTAGCTAATTTAGCTCTAGCTCTTTGAGTGAGCATCATTTAGTTAGCACACACTCTACAGCTGGTCAGCATTTAAATAGCTATTTTTAACATGTTTTAAATATTTAATATTTTTTCCAGTAAATATTTCCCATAATATATACTAACAGGGTGGAACTTTATGGGTGGCTCAAACAGGTGTGTAATATAAAATTGAGAAAAATACAGGAGAGAGTGACAGTTAAAGCTTACCATAGTCTTCCAGTTGAATTTCCCCCCAAAAACAAATGATGTCACTTCGTGGAAATGGGTGTATGGATTTGTAATCTTTTTAGGGAGCCAAGAAACTAGAGGCTCACAGGGTGGAAAATGAATGTGGGGACATATAATATATTATATAATTACAGAAAACAAAATAAGTTTCACCAGATTTGTTTCTTTCTCTAAAGGTAGTATACCCTAGTCTATCAAAATAATAAAGAATAAGTTTTGGTTTTTATAATTTTATAGTTTATATTTACTGAGGAAGTTGAATACATTGCATTTGGGACTTGCTAAAATGAGCGCATATTCCAGAGAAATGGTGCTTTAAAGCAGGGGTCTCCAACTCCGGTCCTGGAGAGCTACCGTCCAGTACCGTCCAATTTTTCTTTGTTAGAGCAATAGAAAACACCTAAACACATAATAAAATAGGTTTGTTATAAAGATTTGTCTAATTTTATAAAAGAATAAGAGCCAGTTAAACATGAGGACATGAATATGTGGCCCAAAACAGGAATCACCCATATATTTCTTCCATTTATAACGTGAGTTTTTAATCTTTGACACTGAATTTATCTGGAATGCTCAACGTACACCACAAGGTATAATAAGGTCGGCAAGTAACATAATGATTAAAAACATGGGTAAGTAATCTGTGTCTGCAACTGTACAATTTAATGATTAATTGAATTCCGTAATCAACAGAGGAATTTTTTTTTAGCCTGTATTACTTACGTTACCCTCAAGTTACAGAAATAGACAAAGAGTAAAAGTGTAATGTATGTAATTTTATACAAACCATCTGCAACAATGAGAACCATATTAGGTAATAATAAAGACGACCGCTTCTGAATTATGTTAGCTGTGCTATGTTAATTATGCTGCTAAATAAGAAACTGTGTAATAAATATATGCAGAATAACATACCATTTTGATGAACCTGTCTTCACAGGCAACCCGTATCCTTTCTGCACTGGCAGGACTATCCAGTCGAAAAGGGCCGTTGAGTCCTGACTCTGCCCTAGCGGCGGTGATGGCGTCCTTAATGGCGTAAAAAACCGAGGCTGCCAGAAAGAGTGGTGGTTCCCCTACAGCCTGAAATGAGACACAGAAGTATGAGGTTGAGAATCAATCCATCCATCCATCCATCCATCCATCCATCTTCCAGCTGCTTGTCCTGGTAAGGACCACAGGATGAAGATAATAAAGATAAAGCTAATTTTTTATAACACAATTACAATAGTGAGTCAGCAATATTCCACAAAAACACCAGCAAGAACACAGGCAAGACGGAAAACTCCACAACTGAACAGAGATGCGACATTTATAATTTAGTTGCAGAAATTGAAGAGTATTTCAATCAGCTACCTTTATTTCAGTAGGTCCCATAAAATACCAGAAATATAAAGTACAGGTATTTTATGGGACCTACTGAAATAAAGGTAGCTGATTATGAGAAAGACCTTGGTGTGTATGTTGATGCTTCCATGTCTCATTCTTGCCAGTGCGGGGAAGCAATAAAAAAGGCCAATAGGATATTGGGGTATATCTCCAGGTGTGTGGAGTTTAAGTCAAGGGAGGTAATGCTGAGATTATACAATTCCTTGGTGAGACCTCACCTAGAATATTGTGTGCAGGTTTGGTCACCATATCTTAAAAAGGACATAGCGGCCTTAGAAAAGGTGCAGCGTAGGGCCACAAGAATGATTCCTGGTCTTAGAGGAATGTCATACGAAGAAAGGTTAGTTGAGCTAAATCTGTTCAGCCTCAAGCAAAGGAGACTGAGGGGGGACATGATCCAGGTCTATAAGATTCTAACAGGTTTGGATGCTGTTCAACCGAATAGTTACTTCAGCATTAGTTCAAATACAAGAACTTGTGGCCATAGGTGGAAATTAGCGGGAGAACATTTCAAATTGGATTTAAGGAAGCACTTCTTTACACAGCGTGTAGTCAGAGTATGGAATAGTCTTCCCGATAACGTAGTGCAAGCTGAATCCTTGGGTTCCTTTAAATCAGAGCTAGATAAGATTTTAACAACTCTGAGCTATTAGTTAAGTTCTCCCCAAGCGAGCTCGATGGGCCGTATGGCCTCCTCTCGTTTGTATAGTTCTTATGTTCTTATGTTATTTACAGATAAATACTTTGTATTGCGTGAAATTTGCAGAGTACATTGCATTAATCGCAGCATACATGTGTGTGTGGGGGGGTGGTGTCTGGGGGTACCTGAGCATCTGCCCCTTTTACCTGAACAATTGAAGGTGCCCCTTTTCAGGTTCTAAGTGCAGCGATTTAATAACACAATAACAGATAATTGTAGAAATTTTGCCCCAGCAGGTGCAATTTACTGGAGGGACCCCCTACCAGTTAATGAAATTTACTGAGAAGGACCCACACCGGTCAGCAAAATTTACCCCAAGCCATGCGCCCCTCCCCATTTGAGCACCGGGCCCTATAAAAGTCCATGCACAGCACTCAGTCACATTAACTATATGTAGTTTGTACGTGTCGATTTTTGAAAGGTCCCTGAAGAAAGCTGAAAGACTGCCTCTTGCGTCTTACCTTCGAAGAGAAGATGGCCTTCTCGTTGGGGGCATCCCTGAGGAGAGACACCTTGAAATCGGTGGGAATATCTCCAAAGGCTGGAATTTTGTACATGCCCGGCCCACGAGAGAGAAGGATGCCCTGCGGGGAGTAGCGAAGCTCTTCCAGCGTAAAGAGACCCACCCCCTGCATGAATGCTCCTTCCACCTGTGTAGACCATACAACTCACCATTTTTGCCTCTCTATATCGCATTCACATAGCATTAATGTTAGTTTAGGAAGGAATCAAATGCTACAAGGTTAAGCTGATCCATACCTGCCCAATGTCAATGGCTGGGTTCAGACTCTTGCCAACATCCATGACGATGGTAGTGTGAAGGTTCTGGAGGGAATAAAGGTTCCGTGTCATCATGAATTGTCAAGTACTGTCATTTTTATGTTATGAAGAAGTAATGCAAATGTGAAAGTGATAAATATGCTATACATTTTAAATCACATTATAACAGAAGGAATAACATTTTGCATTATTTTATTAATTAAAAAAGCTGGATTTGTCTCTTCATTTTTACAGTTGTTACCGTGGTGAGCACCCTTTTGCCTTAAAGCAGCTGTTACAGGACCATAAGCAGTGGCCCTTGGCTTTGTGTTGTGGATAGAATTTAGCCCTTAGGGGAAAATATTGGGAAGGTTTGGTTTATGGAATTATGGGAAATCAATTTCAGCATGTTCAGTGTCACCTTGTGATCTCCAGTTAGACAATCGATTTCAACTTCGGAACAAGCCGCGCCATAGCTGAAGTAGTTAAACGGCCTTCCTTGATTGGTCTCGAAGTCATAACCCAAATCAGGTGTCCTGGTTTGAAATAAGGAAAATCCAGAAAAAAATCCAAGCAATGACATTTCTCATTTAGGTATCTCAAAGCCTGATGATAGATATTGTATGAAATGTAACTTACTTGTAAAAGCCATTTGCTGATAAATTGACTCTGTCTAGATATGCTGCTGTCACCTGTAACGGAAAGATTTAAAAAGTACAGTTAGTATTGACATGCATGTCACATGCTTACACGACACGGACAATATATACAGCAAACATGTGCTCCTAATGGGTGTTTGACAGGAAAAGTTCTGACCCAATCTTCCCAGGTACCCTGAGGGTTCTTGGTTCTGTAGGGTTCTAGACGCTGGATCAAGGTCTGGCAGGCATTCTGGAAAGATTGAAGAAATAATTTTATTGCACAGTTCCCTCATATTCCCTCATATTACTCATAACCTTATATCCTTATTACAATCTGTCTTGCAGGGCATTTGTCGTTAATCTATAATCAGAGACATAACAGTTTGTTTATGGTCTAAGTTTATGGTTTAAGATTGAATCCCCTTATTTAATTTAGCAGAGGTGACAATTTCAGGTCCAGAAAGTACAAATCCAGACCAAGATTTTGTTTCAACCAACCAGTTGAATATAAAGTCAAATTCAGAGAGTACTCAGCTGGTTGGTTGAAACAAAACCTTGGTCTGGATTTGTACTTTCTGGACCTGACATTTCCATCTCTGGTCTGCATACTTTTCATAATGTCAAATTACATAGAGAAGTTTCGCCATTCTTTTTTTCTGCCTTTTTTCTGGCTCAGGCTCAGGATGTATTATCTGACACAGTCACCCCTGAATCAGTAAATTTGTAGGCTGCTGCTGTCTTACATAGACGGCCATGCCATTGAGATCTGAGGAGACTGAGGCTGCAGTGGGACTGGTGTTGGGCACAGTATTAGTGCTGGTCTCTGTGATGTGGATCTTCGATCCTGGGATGCCCAGGGCCCTGCTAGCCACCTGAACAGGAAATACAGCCATTAGATGATTTTCATCCAGAGCTACTTTCACTCATTTACACAGATCACAATATTAAAACCTGAAATATTTGTGCAGTATTTGTGAAACAGTGCAAAATGGTAACAGTGAACATTAAAATTCATTCTGCTATTTGCGCCTCTTTATTGCACTGGTATCATTTTTCACTGTTCCACAAATATTGTACATATAATTCTGCTTTTATACTCCTTTGTATATTGCAAATTTCTATGTCTATACATGTGTCTATATTTATTGCCCTACTTTATGCATATTATATATGCTGTGCTGCTGATTGGTACTACTGCTGCTACTAAATGGCATTTCATTGTTTGATGTACAGTGACTATAAAGATTCATACCTTAACTAAAACTGTACTGAAACCATTACAAAGGAGTTCTTTTTGTTATGCTCCACATTGTACTTTTAAAATCTGTACTTATAGTACTGCTTACAGTATGGCACAGCACAACATAGTAATTTTTCTAATATATTATTCCATATTTTACATTTTATATACAGACTGTTTGCTCAATACCATTATAGCTGCCATCAGTGCAGAAGATCTACCTTGCGGTGATACACGCACCTGGACCATTTTGGTGTGAAGCCCCTGGCCCATCTCAGTGCCACCATGTGTTAGGAGAACGGAGCCATCGGTGTATATGTGGACCAGGGCTCCTGCCTAAAAGAACAATATGCCAACACCCCAACAACTAGGGTGACCATCTGATCCATGTCAGTGGGGACACTATGAGCTAGGACAGGGTTTGTAAACTACCAATCAATCAAAATGACCAGGATTTCACTTTAACACTGAGTCCTTGCTGTGTGCTGATTGGTCAGTGTCCTATAACCATGCACATTTCACTAATGTTAATGTGAATCAGCTGGATGAGTCTTTCAATCAAGGAAACAAACCAGTAAAAGTAAAATAAAAGTAAAAAAAGACGAATTGAAGCTGAGCACAGGAGCCTTTGAGTTTTAAACCTGAAGTAGCTCATAGTGTCCCCCCCCCCTGACAGGGACTGGATGGTCACCATACCAACAACACAGCCTCACAGTTGTGAGTCAGAGAGATCTTTCTGAAGACAGAGTGAGTCAGACCAGAGGTGAATAGTTCAGTTGATTAGATGTAAACCTGGGACACAAAGGATATTTACCTGATTGAGGAAAATAGCGGTGAAGCTAATTCCAAACTTGGTGGGTATTACAGAAATCCCTCTTTTCTTCCAGCGATGTTGTCTGGAAACCCATAAGAAATCTGTGACGACTGTTTCTGTTTATGTTTGCATGGGCGTTCATCAGAATCTCAGCCTAGCTGCACTTATGCCTACGTGATTCCTTGACGGCAAGTACGTTTGTAATGTGCTATTTGCCTCACTTGTGCGTCAATTTTGACAAAAGTGTCTGGTAAATATGTAAAATGTAGATATTAATATATCGCCAATGCAGTCTCTGGAAAGAGGGGAATAATCCTATAATTCACATGTACAGTATACAGCCTTCATCCATTGAATGCTCTTGAGAAAAAAAATCTGATTTCTCCAGTCCTGACCTGTTGAATTGCTCTATTTGTGTCCTACGATAGTGATACTTCGCGAGGGCCAGGCACTCTTCCCAGCAGCGGCCGATGGTAAATTGCTCCAGACGCTGATTAAAAGGCGTTAGATCTCCCTCTTCGTAAAGGTTCAATTTCCGAACCTGCAAATAATAGACATTCATTTACATTCCATGTCAACTGAGGACAGTTTCATGCTGTTCCGTTAGGGAAAATGCAGACTTTCAGAGAATAATGCAGGTTGTGCAGGATTCATTTGGTGATTTTTGTGCCCACAATGGGATGACATCATATTTAGATGCTTAGATGCATAATTTATTCTGTTCTCATTATCTGAGGTATTATTAGAGGAATCTTTTCAAAAGATCTGTTTGTACATATATAGAAAATACTTAGGGTTAGATAGCATTTGAAGTGTTGCATTTCGGTCTATATTAACTTACTAAAATAAACCATAAGCAAATCTTAGTAGAATATTCACTGAAGTTAATAAACACATTCTTTTTTTCACTAACAGCTTTCTAATGGCAAACTTACCCTAAAATAATCTGTCACTGTCGAAAACACACATTTTTTTATTTTATGGTCATTGTTCGTTTTGCAGAAAATAGCACTGCTGCAATGAGGATGTAATCCAAATTGCGACAAGTGTTTCTCAAAGTATGACCAATCAGCATGACCCCAGTGCTATGTAATTTGGTCTGTCACATAAAGATTAAGTGACTCTGCAAAACAATTAGATTCATTTGCAAGTGATGAAAGATATATTTTTTCCCACAGACCAAAAGACTCAGTCTAAACATTCAGAATAGTGGTATTTTCTGAAATCACAACCTTAGTCACAAAGAACGTTATTGTCATTACGCACTTCCTCAGCAGGTATGCCACAGGCCATTGCCACGTCACATATCCAGCTCTCAGCTACCATCATGCCCTGGGGCCCCCCGAAGCCGCGGAATGCGGTGTTGGAGGGCAAGTTCGTCCGGCACATGTATCCTGTTCCATGGATATGAGGAATATTGTAGCAATTCTCCATGTGAAACAGAGCCCTTTCCAAGATCTTTAAAAAAAGCAATGCATGTTTTGTTATGTCAAACCTATCCTTACGATAATATATTTAAAATCACAAATATGCTAAAGTTTATGATCTTGTGATTATTAATAACTGAAAATATGCAATGATAGATAGAGATACAACAGACATTACACGTGTTTCTTGAAAGGGTAAGATTCAGGCTTATTTCATTTCTTTCAAAAACATTAAAAACACGCACTGATAGTGAGAGATCCATAGAATTCCCTGTGTTGCAGTAATATGTCACTTCCAGGGAGATTACTTTACCGGTCTTCATGAAGCCAACCTGAAGAGAAAATACACATGCATTTTTATGAACGTTTATAAAGTAGTATATTGAATAAAAGACAAACGTGATTAGAAGTTTACAGAATACAGCATGAAATGGTAAATCTTAGCTTGCTGAAATTCCACAAGGAAGTACTTTGCCATTGTACAGTTTTTTTTTTGTCCACAATATGGAGAACTGATAATATTTGATTTCTGGTCTCTCTAGGAATAAATAACTGCAGTTAAGATGGAAGCTGATAGATGAGCCTCACTGGATGATATCAGGCCTGGTCTCACACCTTATAGCGCCCCAGGAATGGGTGACGGCCCCCAGTCACAAGCATGTCTTCGTCTCGGTCCAGCATGCAGCGGACAGGGGTTTTTAATCTGGGTGCGAAAGACATGCATGGAAATCCACGTAAGACAAACACTGGCTGGGTGCGTCAGTCCACAAGAGCAAAATGCTGAAGCTGATGAGCGGCTGTTTACGTCCGGCCTCCACACTCTGTATAATACATGCATCTACTGCAAACGTAATTTTTTTCGTTCAAAACCGTGTTCACTTTAAACGATTTCAATTGAAGAATAGCCCCTCCCTATCTTCAGACCACATTTTGAAACACATTTCGCTGCAAAAGGTGATGTAAATATAAATATGAAACTGTCAACTACATAAAAACAAAATACTATTAACATTCGTAGCAAATACATCAACATATACTGTAAAAACTATACAATAAAGCTCATAAACAAACTTTTGGTTGATAAGCTGAGTAAGGTAATTGTGGCAGGGGTGGTCATTTTTTTCCAGCTATATTCATTGACATAAATCATGAGGATGTTAAATAAAAAGGAGAATAAGAATGGAGAATGCTTTTCAAATAAAGGTAACGATGCAGCAGATGCCTACTTATGAGCCGCTAGTGCCACCACTGTTGACAGCAGTGTGCTCCTGCACTCCTTTCCCCCAAAGCCGCCCCCCATCCTTTTCACTCTGCAGACGATCCGATTGGCTGGGACTCCCAGCACCTTGGCAACCAATTGCTGAAAATATCCACCAAGATTCCAAAAAAAAAAAAAGGAGAAAGAAATATGCAACTAAAGGGATTAATAAATAAAACACTGGAATGTTATGAAAGTAAATTAGTAGACATACAAGACGTAGTAGCAGATAATTTAACAGCATTTGATTATTCAGTAATTAAGTGCCTGTGTCTCGGAGGAAAATCCCTGTACTTGGGGGTAAATATACAGTAAGCTTGCATTTAGCTAGTTGCAATTAATAATTAAACCTTGAGGTTAAACAAAAACTAGACTTTTTTCATTCGTTTTATTCTTTTTCTGATCGTTTGTTATTATATCCATTACCCACCAAAAGTGGTATTTCCATGGTGACCTACATACCTGAGTCTTGGTAGCAGATTGTGTTGAGACAAACAGCTCCATTTCCCCATCCTCTCCTCTGGGAACAGCCAGAGAGCAGTTGGTCTCCAGGTAAAAATGCTCCTGTCCTCCAATATGTATCTCTCCTGCACAACAAGAGCAGGCGGGATGCAAGCACATAACCAGCAAGAAGAGCTAGTTCAGTAACACTTTACTAGAAGTACCTCCATAATGCATTACAATGGATGGCATGAGATTTAATAAAGCATTACAGCATCTTCATTTGAATTAGAATTTAGTGATCAGTGGTCATTGTTGACACACCACAGCACACAACAACAATATGTGTCATTTAACCCATATGTGACATACTGTAGCTGATTCAGTACCCGGGGAGCAGTACCTTGCTCAGGGTACCTCAGTGGTGCCTTGCTGGTTGGGGATTCGAACCAACAATCTTTCAATTAAAAAGGGCACTTCCCTAACCATTAAGCCACCACTGCCATCAAGCCATAAGGTATTATAGTGTTGATTATAATACTTCATCTGCTCTCATCTATAATGCACTACAGATGCCTTCATAATGTATTATAATGGTCGGTATAAGAATTAAGGATACTTTGTAGTTTGTACTGCATTATGATGGGATCTATAGTTCATTATGCATGAGAGCTTCATAAAGCATTCATAATGCATAATAAACATGGGTAAAATGATTTATGCCTATTTATAAATATTTATAGCCATGTTTATATTGCTTTATGAATGCATCATAGTGTGATATGAATGTGTTGATAGATTATTATAGACATGCCATTCAGTGTTAACGTTTATTCTTGCATACTTCTGATGTATTTCATTATGATGCCCTTTATTTATTTAAATTATAGCAATTAAAAACCACAAGATAAATGTTGGAGGCTTTGAAACACACTGCATATCTAAAATTGAGCAATTCTGAAATAATCATTAAAAATGACCAAAAATGAATCCAATGGATTTCACACCTTCCAGAATGAGATCTGCCTCTTTAAATCCTTCCTCAAGGTTCCCTTTCTTAATTGATCTCACTGGTTGGTAAAATGATTTACATTCAATTGCCTCCTGCATTGGGGGAAAAAAAACTAAAATTGGACATTCTGCTCCTGGAAACATGCTTAAAGTAAAATCACATTTTTGAGATTTCCTCAGTTATTCTGCTTATTTGTTAAAGTACAATAAGTGTGGATTTTATATGTGACTGTAAGATAAGATCTGCTTTATTGATCCCTTGGGAAATTTGTTTGGCCACAGTTGCAAAGCAACATAAAGTGCACAGATGCAAAAACACTGCAAAAACTTTTGTTGGTGCACTGCTACTAACCTGAATGGTGATGATGGGCTTCAGCTCTTTGTAGGAGATCTTCACTGACTTTGCGGCCCTTTGAGCATGGGCCTGTGTGTCAGCAACAATGGCCCCCACTATGTGTCCTACACATGTGACCTTTGGAAAAAGTGACAAAGTTCATGCCAGTTACACTGCAGTAATGGGTTTAATACATCAATGGGTGCAATATCCATGCCAGTGGAATAATCTGGGCCCCAGTGCAAAATTTTATAGGGGACCCCCTCATCATTTCTGGACACTTGTCCAAGCACGCAATCAAATATACACGACTTCCTACCCCGAGAACAAAAAAAAGAGCTGTGCTGAATTTTGATGTCAATTTTTGGTATATAATTGTCTGCATTTAGCTCCTTATTTGAGATTGTCTTCCAAACTGTAATTCTCCCACATATGTGATTCAATAATAGGCATGCCACGTTATCATCATTTTTACAGTGGTGCGTTTTACGCTCAAAATACTGACTGCACCAGAAATACTGTTAGGTTGGTCTTTAGGTGCCATAATAAGTTGCACAATGGTTAATGAAAGATAGCTTAACTTCTTGCTTCAACTTTTTATTGCCCCTCCCTCTGTGTGGCCCCCTGCTTCTGCAGGCCCCAGTGTGGCTGGACCAACTGCACTGGCTATTTTTCTGCCAGTGTTCAGCTACTCTGTTGAAACTGTGCCAAGCTAGGAGGAGGCTATTCGGACACCACTTAGTAAATCAACAATTTTTATGCCTGCAGTAAAGGTCACTTGCATTGCCATTGCTCATTTGAGATTACTGCTTTTAAACTGGTAATTGTCTTGAAAAACTTCAGTAGTACACATTACTACAGTCACTGTAAGAGCAGGAATAATGTCTTGGTCTAAGAAGAAAGTTCATTTTAGTTAATCTTATCTGGAAGATTATAGAAAGACGTGATACAGACTCTACAAAGAAGAATCCCTCACCTTTGACTTTTACAGGTGTGTGTGAATGATAACATGCAGACTGCTGTATATACAGCACAAATGTTTAAGCATCTAAAATATAAGCATTGAATTATGGTTGTTCAGGAGCAGTACTCAGATAATGCTTTTGACAAAACCATCTGGCATTCTCTCATCAGTATAGCTAGTAAATGATTGCTTAGTCAGACGATTTCCCTCAAATGCTATTCAATACACTCCCACGGTTGCTACAATTACCATCCCATCAGCCAGAACTGTCTCATCATAAACAGCAGGTCCTGTCTGGTTGCTACCAGGGATGTCCTTAGCAGTGAGGAAGGTGACAACGCCAGGTGAAGACATGGCCTCTTCTGAATCAATGGACCTGATGGCAACACAGCCAAGTAACAACTGTAGCAGAATATTTCTTAGCAGCCAACTTATGGATTCAAAGAAGAGCCATCCACACACTTACAGGATCTGGCCGTGTGCCGTGGTGCTGGTGACCAGCACCAGGAAAAGCTCATTCTTGTAGTGTGGGATGTCGTCACAGTACACTGCCTCACCAGTGGCTTGTTTCAGGGCAGAGAGGTGCATGATGGGTCGACCTACCACATCCTCTTCATTCTGCCCTAGGGGCACTGCCTGGGACAATAACATTTGATTTAATACTCATTACCTCAGCACATATAAACAAATATTGCTTAACTCATTTCTCAGAACAGGATAAGTGCATGACCTGCAGGTTGGTTTGAATTCATGGTGATATTTCAGAATGAAAATAAATGTTGTACCACTTCTATCCATCTGATTTCATACCCACTTGGTACTATTAAATTGCAAGAAATTCTGGTGTTTTTAGGTCATTTTTTGCAGGTAATGTGGTGTAAAATGAAGACTGGATAGAGTGATACAGGTGCATATCTGGTGTATTTTGTGGCCATCGAAGTTTATGAGGGTAAGAAAAAAGTTTTTGGGGGTTTATGAGACTCAGGACGAGTAGCGAATGTATTCTGTAAATAATTGTTGGCTAGGCTTTTATTTCTCAAGATAAATGTGTGTGTTACAAAGATATGCGAAGGACGAGTATCAGACAAGAGAGAAAAGTCTGCATTGTACCTCCGTTTGCTAAGAGAACTCTGAAATTTGAAGATATTTTGTGACACGTTTGCTGTACACGCTTTATTGCTGTATTTCCAGGAAAAGATGCCCACCTACCTGGTAAACCTGGGCACAGGAGGGGAACTCTTTGTGGAAAAGCTCAGTGGCACTTATGTAGTCCGGTCTGACATCTTCCAAAACAATCCCCTATATGAGAAGAATCATGGTGTAGGATATATTGCAGAATCTGATTATAAAACTGTAGTCCTGGACAATGAATGGGAGAATAAAACATACTATAACTTGCCCCAATATTTCTATTTTAACTAATTTTGATACCTGCTGTTGTTTATTGCTTAATGCTACACGTACCTGTAACCTTTCTGAGGTTTTTTTAATGGTATTGTTCTCGGTAATCTGATCAGTGTTTTTAAGACCACTGCTGTTCGCCTCCTTTGGCCTCTCATTACCTGTTCCTTTAAGTCTCCTGCCAGCTTGTGCTGGACAGTGAGGAAGAACTTGAAAAAGAGGCTGATGGTCAGTGTGCGTCTGTAGGTGACGGAACCACCAGGGGCCGAGGGGTCAAGGGTCATCTCCTTGGACAAGAGGCTGCAGGCTTCTTCAAGGAGATTCTCATTCCACTTCCTGTAGAAAAAATATGTACATTTCATTGAATATCACTACTAGCCCATCTGAAAGCAGGGGAAACACTGGATAGAATGTCTGATCCATCAGAGGGCTCATTAGAGACAACTTAAAGATATACCTAATAAAATAGGCACATTTAAAGCCATATTTCAGAGGAAAAACCAATGACTTAAATAGAATATAAAATATATATATTATATATTTATAATATAAATATATAAAATATAATAAATGGATGGATGGATTCATCCATCTATCCATCCATCCAATATTGGTATCCATCTATCCATCCAATATTGGTATCTACTGATCCATTCAGTATTGGTATCCATCTATCCATCCATCCATTTTCTGTATTCAATTGTCTTAATTAGGATCGTAGGAGGTCCGCAGCCTATCCCGAAGGCTACAGGTGCATGGCAAGGAACAACCCAGGATGGGGTGCCAACCCATCGCATGGCATGTATTGGTATCCTTATAGATAAATCCCTAACCTCCCAATTAGCATTTTGCAGGTCTCCTTGGCCAGGATGGTGGTGGGCGCCATTCCTCCATAGCTGAGCTGGAGGTGACTGACGGTGTTTGTCTCCTCCTCAAAAATGACATTCATGCCACAGGTCACAATGGCGATGTCATCCTCACGGCGTAGGGATTGCTTAAATGCCGAGAAGTACTGACCCTGTAATACAAAATGTGACCTGACTCCCTGGGAATCGATTCACTAGACCAATCCATATGTAAAGAGGCTCCAAGATACGGAAGATCTCTGCTGAGACATGCAAAGGTGTATTGGGCTGGGGCCACATTTCACGTCATTCAATTTCTCTCAGTAGATGAACTGATAACCAGCTATTTGGAAAAGGAAACAAAAAAGTCTGCGTACTTTCCTTGTGTAAGGAATTTCAATGGATAACAGAATCTCATCAGGTTTTAAGGCTGTTTTTCGGTATCTTGGGAAAAATTGGTCATCCATCTGTAGGACTCGTTTTCCTCCTGGAGCAGATCATTTCAGATATCTCAGCTCTAGGTGAACTTATATTATTATGAACTTAATATATTTTTACAATTGACCCCCCCATCTTTTTTAAACTCCAGTTTAACACAGTAACATATAAACATATAAATTACATATAAGACACATATAAAACATTATAACGACATGTTCCATGTCTTTGCTATGGTTGTAGGGTTATGATGTGTGAAATGACCTCTTCAGTTTTATTGTTAAGATTACTTAACGATTATCAAAAGGTTCCATTTAACTACATAATATCACATTCTCTCATGTGAAATGCCATAGCTCATCAGTGATGTTGCATCAGTCAGTATAGTAACTACTGAAAATTGCTTCATCATGAACGTTCTAGTTGATGGACTACAGAAATGGACTCTGAAGAACATCCCAAAGGTTACAACAACATTACTGTACCATCAATGGTACAGAAATGTTCCTGAGAGTCTGCGCCTGTCTCTACCTTAAAAGGTACAATTACTTACAGCTAAGGGTACAATTGGCAGACCCTTGAGGGTACAGCCCCAGTGACAAGCAAAGGTATAAATTTTTACCCCTTTTTATGAGAGTGGAACAAGTGCATTTGCCTAAGACAGTTCATGCGTAAGCATTATTTACCTTTAGATATGACTGTTAGCTTGCAACCGGCTGCCATGAACACAGGGTTGAGATCAGAGATGGGACTGGCTGTCATTATGTTGCCCCCTATTGCCTGTAAACAAGAGGACAATAGGTTAACCATAGATACTAAATCAAATTAATGTTACAGATATCAGCGCTGGACCTGTAAAACAGGAAATGATGCCGGCAGTTATCCAACCAGTCGCCATAACTGACTCCCTCACCGCCACGTTTCGGATTTGCCGTCCAGCGAACCATCGTAGCTGCTCCAGTATGGCATGAAGAACTTCTGTCTGGTAAGGCAGGAGGTCGTCTATAGAGCTGCGAAGCACCTCTTCCAGTTGGGTGAGGGTGCAGGCCGCACCAAATAAGATCCCTTGACACATAAGCTTTACTTTTTATTGTGTTATACTTACCATGTTATTTTAATGCATTAAAGCATCAGAAAGACCCATACAGTATATGATCTTACACACATGTAGGCTAATTGATTTTCACATGTCTGATTATATAGACATGTGCATCTGAAAATAATACAAATCTATATGTCCTGGTGATTTTGGAATCTCTTTTGCTAATTTTGCACAGATTCTTATTTTCTGAACAGAAAGTTAAAACAACAGATAATGTTCAGTTTGAATTGATGCCGAAACGATTCATCCAGATGAAGGATTAAGTTTTAAAGTGTATTTAAATCTAATCTTCATTCTACAACCATCATGACGGATGCAGGGATGGCCTGACCATTTCTCGTATGTTGGACAACGGTGAGCTCAGGGATGACAGTAGGAGCCAGAATCACAGGATACAGCATATTCTTGAATTTCATTTCAATACCTTAAAAAATGGTGTAATAATTTAAACATGATAACATTGTTATATTATCATTTATCGACAATTTTCTTTGCAAATGTGTTTCTTTTTTTACTTTGTTTTGTCAAATTAACAATATATTATTTGTTTTTTTTTTATACAATGCTGACAAAAGCATTGTATAAATGTACTATAGTATAGTTTTTTCTGAGATTAAAATCCATCTACAATCTGAAGGCATTTCCCACCTGCATTGATTGCTCTACCATAGTTATCACAAATTTAAATAAATGTCAATTAATAAATGAATGAATGTACTTCAGAAGTAAACAAATGAACATCTTCCTTATGGATCTCCTTATTTACAATAAGTAAAAGCATTTTGCTCAAACCAGAAAGCCATAACCATCTGATTCAGCAGTGCGGTCACTGTTTCAAGGTAAGCATTTAAGAGGTCCTCCTTTGTGATTCTTCATGTTCATCATAAGCATAGACTGCCTTTAACTTGAATTTTACCTATTAATATGTTCATCCCTTCCTGAAGGCGGTAACTCACCGACTTCTGTATTGCCCACAACCAGCTTTGCTTCAGGGTATTTTGCCTTCAGGTCCAGTAGCTCTGTCAGGCAGCTGGGTTGGATCCATACGACTCGTTCGCCTTTAAATTGCAGTTTCTTATTTTCCTGTTTGGCTAAACGCTGCAAGGAAAACACCACAGAAATGCATATTCTGCACCCCGTTTTCCACTGACTGTGATTAATTGATACAACATGGCTACTAAGCAAAAATAAGTAGAAAAAAAAATCATAATAATTTTGTTACACTTTTTTTAATACTCTAATATGAATACTGATATTAATACTAAAAATATTGCAGATGACCAGAGCAATATTTTGTGAGAAAGTCACTGCTATATGACAGGCCAAAGTTACCTTATTATACCAATTAATATGTAGCTGCTAGAATGATACGGAAGGCTGCAGTTACAATAGGCAGATAACTTTGCCATAAACAAAGGAGAAATGCGATATATATGAACATACCGAAAGCTCAGGAGGAAAAATTATCTCCTGCGTGGGGTCCAAAGGCTTGAACTGAGAAGGGTCATACAGCTGTGAGACAGAACCTCCCTGCAATTAGTAATAACTCCACTTTAGTCAGAAGGATGGCAATAGCAGAAAGTTTAAATAATCAAACTTTTAAATATAATACTTATTAATGTTTACTGTCAATGCAGAGAAATTATTATTATTATTCTTGCTATACTATTTTTATTACTACTGCTACTAATAATCATACAAATTGAACCTAATGTACTTTTCATTCTATCATTATTAAAACATTTTAAAAGAAAAAATGGGAAAGTACTGAATCTGAACTAAAGAATGTATTGTTATTTAATGTATTTACTCAATAAAACTGATTAAGTTGAATATACTTCACAATGTCATGTATACAACATGTCATGCATACGTCAAATGTGAATGTAAAATCTGTGTAAACGTTGGGGTTGAATATGCAAAAGCATTGTGAGAAGTTGCCCTTCTAATAGGAAATGGTGACACAGCTCTTAACTAAATATTGTGTTTGGCTCATTGATATCGGTGTCGTAACAGGTTGGCACCAGTGTTATAACATATAAGTCAACTTCTGTTCACTTCTGACTAGTTATGCAACATGCTTAGTTTGTCTGTAGGGTTGCCAGACATATCCTTAAAAGAATAATTTCTCTTCAAGCTTGAAGGTTTTCACTGTCCAGGTACTGTAACTGCGAAATTACAACATAAGGTAATGACAGCTCTAGTCTTGCCTAGAAACAAGGTGCATCTTCAAGGAAATTGAGTTCTCACATTATTATCTTTGGCTTCTCTGTTCATGCAGCAATCATTCTCTTTTCCCTTTCTTCCACAGCAACCACCATCCTGCAGGTTTTTAAAAGATCAGAACATCAGTTGTTCAGTTACATACAATCATTTACCTGATGCCTTCACCCAAAGGAGCTTACAGATTTTGTAGCCAATTATATACTTGGATAAATTTCACTGGAGCAATTCAGGTTGAGAACCTTACTTTAATATAAGCCTATACAACAGAATAACCATTCCAGGTACAATAGCTAACAGATTTCATGGTCCTATCCTTTAACACTACAGTACCAGCTGGGTAAGCATTTTAACAACAACCAAATAGCTATAAACTGTAACACCTAATAAAACAGATAGACCTCCACCATGCAGACCTAAGTTATAATGTCAGTACTGCCAATTAAACATCTGCACAGATCATGTCAGCTTGCAGTGAAGTAAATACAGGTTAACTACAATGGTGATATCTAACGGGGTCCATACTTACTACGGCAAACGTCTTGTACCCCTCCAGTATTGGCCTATATCCAGTACAACGGCACAAATTGCCTGTGAAAAATGAGCATAGGCATAAACTTTTGTGGGGGATGTATTTGATATTTTTAATAGTACTGATAATAGTTAGGTGGAATCACAGTCAAATTTTCATCTGTATTTATAACAAGATACATAGCATAACTTTGCAATGTCAAAGTACAATGCTATTCAATAGCTAATTATAGTTGCTGAACTTTACATGTTTAGTAATTTATAATTTGAGTTTTGGAGGACAAGATTTTTGCATGAGCTCCACAAGTTATAGACAGTGCAGCACGATTGTAAGAAATGTAACAAAAATGAGCAGGAGGTACACAAGTCGTTTAAATTAAAAGACACTTAAATGCATGTTGTTGTAGAGGTAGCCAGAGTAAACCCAGACAGAAACACGAAGAATATGCGTCTCCATACACACTGCAGAGGCGATGATTTAAAAAGAATACTGTGATTGATCAAAGTGAAACGCAAGCCCTTCCCTTGTTGACCTAGGGGCGTATTGAACTCGGGAAAATCAGGATGTGCTTGTAAATGTTACCTTGAAATGCCTCCTCAATGTCTAGCTTGGAAGGCTGAGGTCGGTTCCTCAACAGGGCATACATGGACATGACGATTCCCGGTGTGCAAAATCCACATTGTGAGCCATGGGTCTTGGCAATCCGCTCCTGCGTGGAAAAGTGGAATTTTTTTTGTAAATTGATTGACATTACATTAATTTACACACACCTTCTGTCCAGAGATTACTCCATTGCAATGTTTGTTTCTCAACTGAATCCACAAGAACCCAGCACAGCTGAACCAAATATTTAAGTGATCAAGAATAGCTGGTATACATGTGCTGGGGGCTGGAAGGGAGCAAGAATGTGGCCTGTCTGGGAGCCCCTAAGTATTTATTGTACTAGACTAAGATTGTATAGAATACAACCAAATTCTTTTCTTAAAGCATAATATGGTTAACATGCAATGAGTCTTGTAGAGATGCAATCTATAACCTCCTGGAAGAGTTGTGATTTTTTCCGCAGCTTTGATCTTTTTTATTGATTAAACAAAACAAGGAAAAAAGCAAACCAGATTTGAATTGCTGTAAGATGAGATAGGACACAGGCGTACATGTGTTTACCTGGACCGGGTGCACTTGGGTGGCCACGCTGCCAATTCCCTCCACAGTGGTGACAGCACTGTGATGCAGCGAGCAGACTGGAGCCAAGCAGGCATTGACTGCATGGTGGCTGAAAGTATTTCATAAAGGCCTAGAACCAGGACCAGCCTGATATCAAATACTGAGACAGTTCCAATATAATGGCTAAGAAACTCATTCAAAACCTCTGACCCACAGGTATTTGCAAAGAATCATGTGTCATCCTCATTTTAGAGGAACATGCTACATATTATTTAGCATCTATACAGTTATGGGGGGGGGGGGGGGTGTACAACTCTGCCATTTTATGTATCCGTGTAAATATGGGAATTTTTTATTAACCGTACACATTTTTAATGGGTTTATACATAATTAAAATACCCTAGAAACAACACATTGTGTTGTCATGGCATTAAAAGAATTACTTTGCCACACTCTGTATCACATCACATTGTAACCCTTGAACTTTGTTCCTCTGCAGTGACCTACATTCAACCTTTTTAACACATTGGTAAATGATTTGTAATGATATACTGTATAATAACCCTGTGTCAGATGCAACACCATATTTATTATGAAATATTAAATTTTTCCATTTGCTTTTATTCAACAGACTCAAAACACTGGTCAAGGTTGAAGGTACTTTTGTGTGTTTATGTTTAGAAAAGGATACACGATTCTGTTCTTGTGTGGGTTGAACCTGGAGATCATCACAGTGCACGCCCCGCACCCCCCCTCTGCACACCCCAGCTTGGTCCCAGTCAGTCCCACTAAGTATAACAATATTAAGGATCAAGTGACAGAAAAACTTTACTTTCACACTTTACTTCTGTAAGTAACAGCGACCTCACAATGTAAAGTAAAGCTTACCTAATGGGAAAGAAAATCATTGCGCCATTACTGACAAATCGCAAACATTTGTATAAACAAGGACTTGTGTAAACAGAGTGTCTGCACAATCGATAGTTGTCCATTTGTGCAAGTGAAACACAAAATCACATAATATAGGCAAATTAGACACATCAGTTTGCTTAAGCAGAAGTTTCGAAGTGCAGGTAGAAATCTAAACAAGAATTGGGAGAACACAGAGACTACACACACACAGAGGCAAGGGCAGAAATCAAACCCACAACCCTGCACTCAATCATCAACCTGAATATAGTACAGTGCAGCATGATTGGCCAGCTAGAGATACACCCCCTCAAAATGATTAAATAAAATCTGTGTGAAAGGCTTTGGACTGAAATGACATTTGGAATATTACTACTGCCCAATGCACACATATTCAGCTGTGGGTCATAACTTCCGGTTGAAAGAAAAAAAAAACAAACAAACAAATAAACCTTTTACATCATATTTTCATCAAAACATTATCTGTAACACGTTACTATACATATATTGTTTAAAAAATCTATAATCTAAAAATGGAAATACAGTTCACTCCACGTTAAACATATCACAGTCTGTAAATATCTATGACATAACCTGAACAAATTATTTGGACTCGAATGTATATGCTCTGTATGTGACGCATAAGGATACATTTTGTCCGGAGGTATGTCAGGAGCGTCATCTCTGGCTCTGCATTCCCTTCCACAATCTGAAAAATAACGCGAAAAAAGGAAAAACAGAAATACTTTCAAAAAATTAATTATAAATAGAATTTTACATTTTTTCATCCCCGTTTGGGGGTGAAAATTATGAACAGACAAGCACACAATACCGCTTAGTAATCTGTGAATAAACGTTTAATAACCTTTTTACAATAGTAACTGCGAGCCCAATTAAGAAGGATACGTGAACGGAAAGGATGGAATTACAATATAAGTAGGCCTATATATCAGTACAAAGACTAACTAATTAGCCTGCCAATTTACTAATTTTAGCAAATCGAAGTATGATTGCATAATTATTGTAACAAAGTACTTACATGCATAATTATATGCGCATTTATATTTTGAGCTGAGATCGCAATACGGGATTTACATTTCTGGTTGTTATTGAATATATAAAGTATAAGTCTACGTATGTAATATATAATTTTCTGTTTAAATTTTCGAAATAAAGCAATCCTACTGTACCTTTTTCCCATTCACAAAGAAAAGCAGCTCGCCTTCCATTGAAACACCAATGTCGATGCTAGCTGGATCAGGTATTTCGTGCTTAATCACCGAAGAAGTGCTTATCTTTTACGGTGGATTTAAACTGTTCACCATTACCCTGTTTGCCCTGCGATGCACTTTGGAGTTTAAGGTTTAGAGCGCAGCACGCAGCACAAATACCGTAATACTTAACCTATTATCTAACGGACGCAACTTCTACATTTGAGCTCCCACAATATATAGTGATATATTATTATATGTCGGGGGGTAGCGGGGGGTTTTGCAATTTTAGTGATTGTTCTTTTTCAAGATTTTTGCATGACCTCTGTATGCACTTTCGAAGCCAATCATAATTTTTTTTTTGTCCTTGCTGTTGCTCTAGCTCATAGAGAGTGGGTACGGGGCAAGGCGCATCCCATACACGATGCCTGTCTAACACATCGCTGGATATTTATGAAATGGAGGGGGGGAGGGGGGGAGAGGTTAATTCTTTACTAGGGGGGTGGTCTGGGTTTAATGAAAATGAATGAGAACACACTATCTACAGTACTTTGTCTGCATATATTTGAGGGCAGGACTAAAGAACAGCACTAGCAAATGCCCCTGGTACACGATGCTGTAACCTTGCTAACTTATCTTTTTCTCTTTTTCATTCACAGTTGTGTTTACTGAAGGCGTCTAAGTAACATAACACCTGCAGGGCTTTGGGTTGGGTCCCCACATTGATGGAGTTTACATGTTATTTCCATGTTTGCATGGGTTTCCTCCAGGTTCTCTGGTTCGTAGCCTCAACATAATCTCGAGTGTATGTGCAAGACTGCTGATGCACCTGATGCCATTTAAATCGATGATGTTCTGACATTTTTCAGTAAAAATAAAACGCTAAACTTGAAGTAAGTCATATTTAATATCAGTGACTTAACTGTGTTAATATTTACATTTGCAATATTAATACAAATGATCTACTAAACCAACGCTGCCAAGGAAACATTCATGCTGCTTATGTCAGATACGTTTTTAGATATTTGTTTCCTGATTCGATAAGATCCAGTGCATGACAAAGTGGGTTAAAGAAACTGTGATGAACCCACAGCATGTTGACAGGGGCAATGACCTTGTTCCTCAATTGAATTAACAAGCCAGTATTTGTTGTGCAAGAGAGGAGTCATATAGCAATAAAGGAGGTCGCAGGGGAGAATTTAGTGTGGCCCTGTTGAATGTCAATTTCATTTAACCAGCTTTGTTGGTGTGTTGGAAATTATTTGGTACCTCTGTGGTTAAAATGTGAGTTAATGCCGCTATTGGCTGCCCTTTACATGGAAAAACAAAGATCGAGTGCTGCCTGTAAACCCTGTAGAGTGAGAAAATGTGATGAAGTGTCTCAGTGCCCTTGAAGTGGAGGTAATGTGGTGCAGTGCCCAATAAGGTGCCCTTACAAAGCTCTAAATTGACCTATGGGTACCCTTCCAAAGGAATAAGGTGCCGGTATGAAGGGGACAGTATGCCACCCTTATATGATTAAGTGTCCCAAAGGATGCTCTTTCCAGAAAAGAAAATGTAATATAGGGCTTCATGTCCACAGTTTATGTCATACCAAAATATCACTGACAGATGAAGATGCCAGATGTGATGCAGATGAAGCAGCAGTTTCACTGTTTCCATTTTTATTCAAGCAACACAACGTGTGAATGTGAAAGGATGGTTCACAAAAAATGTGAAATATATAATTCATTTTTGGAAATTACCGAAACCCCCAGCGTTCTGCAGCCTGGCAGAATACTGTCCACGGACCACGGACCTCGAACCAGGAGTTGGGAACCCCCACTGTAAAGGGTACTCCTATCCCTACGTGATGAGAAAACATGATGCAGTGCCCAAACAGGTGCACATCCAGTGGATGAACTGTGATGCACTGTAGCATGATTCAGTGCCATATAAGATGAAAACACAAGTCTGTTTGTGTGAACAACCTGTAATTTACAGAACAAATTATGTTTAATGTCATAAAATAAATAAATAGATTTTTTCTCAATTGTATTACTTCCATTCATGGGTGGTCTGTGGAATGGAGGACAGAGCTTGACCAGATTCCTCTGCCCAGTCCAACGGAGCAGATTCATTCAGCTTCTGAAGAAGAGATGCATATGAATGTCCTGCACTGACACGGTGTCCTGTAGCGCCCTCTGTAGGGCAGCCATTGAGTGGTTCATCTTGTACCAAAATAATATTAAATACATAATTGAATCCATATCTTACTGATTTCCTTTCATTCATGCAATACACAAAAACATACAGGCAACTCTGGCTCACTTGGCTAATTGCATTATAGAAATAAATCAATCCAGCTTCAGTAAAAGTTTCTAGTACCCAGTACAAAATACAAAGAATTTCCCAGGAAACACATGGGACAAAGCAAGAAACACTCTGGATCAGAAACCCATCCATCACACACTACTATTCGAACGCAAAGGACAATTTCTGGATTGTAGGAGGAAATCACCTAAAGCACAGTGAAAACAAATAAACCGTATGCAGCAAGCTCAGGGTGGGAATCAAACACAGCAGCCTCGCTTCAGACTCACCTCAGGAAGCACAGAGCTTCATGTACAGGAATCAAACACAGCAGCCTCGCTTCAGACACACCTCAGGAAGCACAGAGCTTCATGTACAGGAATCAAACACAGCAGCCTCGCTTCAGACACACCTCAGAAAGCACAGAGCTTCATGTACGGGAATCAAACACAGCACCCTCGCTTCAGACACACCTCAGGAAGCACAGAGCTTCATGTACGTTATTTATTTGACATGTGCAGCTGTTGTATATGCTGATGATTACAGAACACAAAAAATATGCTATACAGACACACACAGGTCACTTGTGGAAGTAGTTTTGAAGAGTTATATTTTCAGAGTGTATTAAAAAGACTTCCTGGAAGAACAACACCTTCCATGGTTCACAGCGAAGTTCTCAACTGCTCTGCTCATAAATCCTTTATTTGCCATTTGCACAAGTATGAGTACAAGTAGGCTGGAGTTCTTCTCTTTGCCTACCCCATCTTCCTCTCCATAGCTTGGGGGGGGCGGGGGGTCACACCACAGGCTCAGTCAACATGCAGTGCCCCTGGAGCTGGGGGTTATGGGCCTTACTAAAGGGCCCATGGATATGTGACTGTTCTGCCAAGGCCTCTCACTTAGAGGCACAGACTTAGCCTGCGGAGCCACTCGCTGCCCCCCGGCTGTGTGTGTTATCAGGTGCATGCAGTCATGCAGTTTGGTCCATAATCGGCGGCCGGTTGGTGAAAATTACTGAGGGGAGCAAATGCCTGGGTTAAAGGCTCCTAGATGGGATGAGTGCTGGAACCGCTCCCTAAGGAAGTTTCTCTTTGTTCCATGCACACATTAGGCAGAAGACTGCCCCCAAGTTCTACCGTGATGGGTGGTCTGCTCCAGGTAGCATGACGATTTTCCCCCAGCTGCTGACAAATAGGTATGCACATCTCCTCCTCTGAGTGCCTTGACAAAGATGTTGCCCCTCAGCTCCATGGTGAAGCCACGTTCAGCCAGGATCCTGCTCGTCCCCTCGGGGACTTGTGTACGAGCACTCACTCCTGCACAGGTCCATGGGAAATCCCTGATGGAAAGTGTTGATGAAAAGCAGAGGAAGAAAACGAGACCAGAGCTGGGTAGTTCAGGTCCACAGAGCTAAAAATCCAGACCAATACTTTGTTTCAACCAACTAGTTGAGTATAAAGAGTCACAGTCACAAAGTACTCAACTGCTTGATGGAAACAAAATCTTGGTCTGGATTTTTATTCTCCAGACCTGACCTACCCATGACTGAGGTATTCCCATGCTTAAAACTAGCTCACCCGTCTCAAAAAACAACCCGATGTTTTAAAAATTGGCCGCAGACTTTGGGGTCACCCACAATAAATTTTGCCAAGCCAGGGAGGGGGAGAAGTGAATTTTGCAGGTCCACCAGCCCATTGCCCCCCCCAGGAAAGTGCCTGGTATGTCACATGGCCAGTCCAGGCCTAGTTTTGACATGCAGTAGCCAGCATCGGAAATTGTATATGCTCCTTTTACTTTATGCTTTTTGAGAACGATTTTAATTTTGGTTCAAAGCACCCACTGCCCTTTTGAACCTGCTTAAGAGCTAACAGCACATATCACTCTGAATGGATATACCAGCACACAGCTGGAAGGTGTTTCAGGAATGAATGGCTGTTTACTTTCTTAAGCACTTTCCTTCACAGCCAGCGCAAGGAGAACTAGTTGGGAAAGATGATGCCATTCATCCTCAGTGGCCTGAATTACGGGAAGGGTTTCAATGACATGATTGTGAGGGATCTGATGCTTCAATGTCGTAAAGGTACAAATTAAGCTTCTAAATCCAAAGTGGGTAGAATTGCCATAATATGTCTATCACTGGCTGATATAATCTAATTAACAATGGACAATTTTATTAATTCTTACCAGGTTGAGGAACTAACTCTAAGAGCACAATAATCCTACAGGATTAAGAGCTTCAATGACGCTATCAGGTTTTTGCACCTGTAAGGCAATGAATGGTCAGTTTTACAGAAAAATAAGCACACTGTCATATTTGGTGACTGGCCAGAAGCTGCCATCTAACAAATGTCAATAGTTGTAATTTTTTCTATTTCTTCAAAATATGAGTCCTCGAGCAACTAGGACAAAACAATATATGTATTTTTATTTAGTTACATCACAATAATTTTCCTATATGTCGTAATTAAGTACTGTGATCTATATAGGATTATATATAAATGACATGTGTACTAATATCCATATAAATTTCATCCACTATTCAGTACAGGATTATGTCAGTACAAAATTCATTAAGAAAGTATTGATATAACTCTATAATTCACTTAATTATAACATTTGTATAGTTATGATACATAACCGTTTGTTACTTTGATGGAGTTTCACAGATTAATAGTTTAACATATTGTTAAAAGATGGCGAGAGTGTTCGGTATGGACGGCAGTGTACCTTCACATAATCGCCACTAGAGTGCATACCTATGGAAATCGGTAGACAACATTTTGTTGTTGAAACAGTGGATGCTACTTCTCTTATTGGACTTTCACAATTATAATATTAATTATTATAAATAAGTTTGTTTGGAGGACATTG